GGTAAGGGGAGGTGGCACATGAGCGCCGGGAAGACGGGCCGGGGGCGCCGCGAGGTGCGGTCGTGAGGGGCGGGGCGCGGGGGGAGGCGGAGCGGGAGCCCCGCCCCGGCGGGGCCGCTGGAAAAGTTTGCGCCCTGACCGGCGGGGGCAGAGGCTGAGCAAGCCGGTCTGGGAGACACGCGACAGAAGCCCGGCGCCAAGCGCGGTGGCAGGACGCGCGGAGGGAGGCTGCGGCTCGGGAGCATCCCGCGCCCCAGCGCAGCGCCCGTGCGAGCGGAGGCGGGGGCGCCAGGATGCCGGCGGCGCGAGCGCCCTTCGCGGACGGAGGTGAGCCGCGGGGGTGGGCGCGGGCAGCGGGCCCACTTCCCTCACCGTCCAGCCGAGGCTGGGCGCGACGGCGACCGGGGCGGTCGGCTCCGCCCTCCCCCCCAGGCCGTCCACCCCGGGGACCGAGCCCGCGCGGGGTGTGGCGGTGGCTCCTTTTAACTGCGGTCGGCGCGTGTAGACCCGGCTGCGTCTTAATAACCCGAACGGAGGAGGGGCGACTCTCCGCGGGGAGGTTCCGTCTGCCGCTCTCCTGGGACAACTGAAAAGCTAGACTCCGTCCAGGACGAGGACCGGGGGCCCTGGAAGTGCGTGCGTGTGGTGGTTCTCCTGGGGAGCGGCTCTGCTCACCCGCACTCGCCGCGGAGTTGCAGCTGCCTCTCCTCGCCCCGCGGCGCTCAGGGCGCTCAGAACCGCGGCTGGAGGGTGAGGTCCCCGCGGCGCAGTTAGAGGCTCCCGGGGAAGTCGGTGCGGAGCTCACAGCTGCGCGCAGCCGGAGCGCGGGCAGCCCAGCCCTTCTTCGGCCTGGCGCCGCTTTTAACCCGTCTGCAAGCGGCTCTCTCCGCGCTCCCTCTCACTGCGTCTCTGTCCATTGGCCACCCCGTGGTGCTTTTCTATTTAGACGTAAGAGAGGGACTTCTTGTTGGACTTTTAAAGGGAGCACGCTGTGTTTTGGAGGTGGAGAGAGGGTAGCAGCCTGCACAGAGTCTGAGGCTTCTGGAAGGTCATCTCGGGAATGGGAGCGCCGCCCCCATGCACCCAGCCCCAGCCTGGGGCTCCGGGCGCCCCCGGAGTTAGGGGGCTTTTCCAAGTTCGGACGTTAGAAGTTGCGGACATTGTATCTGTCACACGTTCACAGTTTGTCTTTCAACATTCATTTCTTCTTTGATGAAAATGTTGCAGGCGCGGTTAAGAAAAGGAACAATTCCTAGAAAGTACAAAGCAGGGTTATGTGCTGTAGGTATGTGAGTAACAAGGCTGGCGGTGCCTGTTGCTGGTGTAGATGGCGGTTCTGGGGGGTGGGGTGTGTGTGTGTGTGTGTGGAGGGGGTGGTATTCCGATCTGGACAATTTCTCACTCAGTTGATGCGGCACTCAATGCCAGTGTGAATAATTTTGTTGCCACAGGGAGCCACATACTGGGTTTTCTCAGTCAGCAAACATTCACTTTGGGCCTGCGAGTCCAGTGGCCCTTGCCACCAGAGACCCAAAAGGCAGAGTCAGCCCTTAGGAGCCTCCCCTTGAGGGAGAGACAAGCCGGTTCCTCAGCCAGGTTCCATCTTTGAAAATGTCGCTTCCCTCCTTCCATCTGGGAGTCTCATCAAATGCAGGACTCCCCTCCCTCCCCGCCACATCCCGTTTCCCGTGCATATGTCCTAACGGCTTTATTTCGCAAAATGCAGGGACCGATTTTCCTTTCTCTGGAAATGATGCCACCTCTTTGATTCTGGTATATCTCTTCCATTGCCTAAAAACGCTTCAGTACCTACAGTGCATACATACATTTTTATTAGAAAGAAATGAGAATTTGAAAATCTGGGGGGTTGCCCAACTAGAGAACCCCCTTTTTCTCTGCCAGGACTTGGGGTTATGACTTGGGTGCTGACATAGCTGGGACGTTGGCCAGTCAGCCAAGATTGCGGTGCCGTGAGCAACACAAGCCTTTCCATTTCCTCGCATTTCTCTCCCTGATTTTTTTTTTATCAGTTTTGGAACCATTTCATATTATTCCTTTGCCATACATTTTCTGTAAAGTTAATTAATCGCCTTAAGAGATATTCCATAGGCCTTTGGAGATAATATGATCATCTCGTTTTAATTCATAATACTTTTAAGTAGTTGTTGCAGTCACTGGGCATAAAGTTGCCTTTTGTTTCGTTTTCGTTCTATTTTTTGAGGAAGTACAGCTGCATCTTCAAGAGGCCAGGCAACAGACCTGTCAGGTCAATCAGTGACAAGGTTGTTCAGAGGAGAGGGTGGCACCGATCGGGTGGCCCTAACGTCCGATCGGCACCGTGAGCTGGAGCGAGAGTCCGGAGTCAGTCCACCAGGCTCTTTGGCTTTGAAAGCCCTGCCCCATTTCCATGAGGTCAGAGTGCCCCATATATTTCAGGGAAGCCCCAGATTAGCGTCCCAGCATTTCGCGAGCTTAGTAGCTAGAAGCAATTCAGTTTCAAGCGTGCCAGTGACACTCTTGTCACTGTCTAGGTGAGGAACACCTGGAAAGGTGGCAGCCTCCGAAAGAGTTTATCCCTCAAGTGATACGCTGGAATCCGAGCACACAGGCCTCCGGCCTCGTCCAAGCTGTGCCACTCAGGAGAGTGACCCCCATCCCCCAGCCTCAGTCTCCTCCTCTGTCCGTTTAGATGCTGCGGTGGGGCCCAGACGTGGGACCCGCAGGCGCCGTGTGTGGTGCGCGCGCTGGGTCACTGCTGTGGGAGAGGATGACAGGGACGTCCTGAGCAGGGCACCCCCTGTTCGCATGTGCCTGCCAGAGCTCATTTCTACACATTTTCATGCCTCCCGGGGCAGTCTTGGTAGGAATTCAACCCTGTGCCCTTACTTAGAACAAGCAGAGAAGAGAATGGGTTTGAGAAGGCTGGTTGAAAAGCAGTGAAGGTAAAGGCCTCTTGCGTCAAAAGCAGTGGCCCTCCCTTAGCTAAACCCGGGTGCTCAGGAGAGCCTGCCCAGAGGCAGATGCCCTGCAGCACAGCCTGCATACTCGGGGCTCCTTGGACTGCACCCAGATCTGTGTTAGCATCTGAGCCTTGTCTGCCGAGAGGATGACCCGTGGGTAAGCCACTGGGAAGCAGGAAGCCCAGCCAGGGGTCACGCTCTTCCGTGCTCCGAAGAAGCAAGGGGGCGATGTGGAATCCCTTACATGTGGCTCATCTGTTATCCCACAGGGAGCTCCGCTAATGGGCCCAGAGCAAAGCGCAGGCGGGCAAGGCTGAGCGTGTGAAGCCTCTTGCCGTGAACTGTCTCTGGAAGCAGAGTGAGGTCACCTAAGAAAGCCGGAGCGAGGGGAAATGCTCATTAGCGAAGGAATTTTGCTGGGGCTAGGAAACGGCCAACTCATTATTTCCCTTCTAAATTCTTCTAAAGGGGGGAAAAAATCCTGCTTTCCAAGAAATTTTGCTTGTTGGCAAATTGCTTGATTGCTTGGTGTGTTAATTCAGTTTGCGGGGTGAAGTGGAAGGACGTGCCTTTAAAAATACATCTCCTGCATCCGACCTGGAGAAATTTCTCTCTCTTACTGTGCTGCTTTTGTTTTTCTGTTTGTTTGTTTTTTGTTTTTTGCCATTAGAGAGAGAGAGGGAGAGGCAGACCACAGACTGTGGACATATTTTCCTTTGTTTTTCCCTTTTCCTTCTTTTTATAGTTTGTTTATTTTTCAAGTGGACGTGTATAGGGAGAGTGACTGTCTAGCAGAGAAAATACATCTGGAATCCATCAGCTCTGGCTGGGTTCCCCCCTTCCCCCCCAGACGCCCCTCCTTGGAATGGGGGGGGGCACACCTCTGAACCGCCTTCTAGAAGGTGTTGTATCCTTTCTCTGCAAGAAGGAAAGTCTTGGTGTCGGAAGCTCTCGGGCGGTGGGTGTGCGTTGAGTAGGTCGGGGGGAGCCCAGGTGTGGGCAGAGTGCTTGCGGCAGCTTCACCGTGAGACGCAGACGGTCAGGTCCTCACTTGGAGCAGGGGAGGGGGTGGGTCTGTCGGAATCTGGGTTTGTTGGGAGACCACTGCCCCGTGAGAAGCATCTCTCTCCTTCGTCTTCTAAACATGCCCGGCTTTCTGAATATGTGCAGGACGAGCCAGCACCCGGCCAGACTTCTCAGCATCAAACTGTGTTTTTAAGCATTCAGGTGGAAGTTTAGCAGTGAAACTCCTACAGCAGGAAGGCAATACTGGTCGCTGCCAGCCCCGGACACTTAACTTCTAAAATGAAACAAATCGGGGGCATTTGTGATGTGGAACTCCTGCCCTCTCTGGGGCCGCCTCCAGCTCCCCACAGACACCAGTCCACAGGCCCGCCTGCTGAGCCCCAGTAAGCCTCTGCAGGGACCCTCCCAGCAAAACCCAGCCTGGGCATCAGCCGGCGCTGGGAAACCCACGGGGCCCCTTGGAAGCGCGGGCATGTGCACGCCCTGCACGTCCTCAGCTCATCCTAGGAACCCTACTCAGTAGAGCAGCATGTGGAAGCGACCCCACGTCCACCGACCAGAGTGAACGGAGGCGCTGTGTCCACCCACGCGGGGGAGCACTGGCAGGGCGCCGGCAGCATCTCCGCGCACGACCCGCAGGACATCACGCTCAGAGGAAGCTGCCCCGCAGCTGTCTGCCGTATGGCTCCGTTT